CAGGAGCGAGCGGCAGCCGATTAGAGAGCCGGGTCTGATGCGGGTGGGCTGACCGGGTGCCCCCCCTCGCTACACCACTGGCCGGGATCTGCAGAAAGGCGGCAGAGGGATGGAGCAGCTGCGGCCCCACAACCAGGGTCCTGGTAGCCCCACTGACCACCAGGCTAAGGTAAGGTGACATTTTTTAAAATTACATTTTAAATGTTTTATTATTTTATGTTCCCGGGACATTTTTAAATGTCCCGGGAACATAAAATAAAACATGTTTTTTTTTAATACTCACCTGATCTGATCCACCGACAAGCTCAGCGTCCCGCCTCTCACGCTGTCATTATATGCATACAGAGCGTGCCCGTTACTATTTAAACCGGTGCGCTGTGTGCAGCTTCTGAGAAGATACGTTATTAGCGTAGCGGGAGCCATGCAAAATGCGCAGCCAGCTTCCCTGCTACGCTAATAGCGTATCTTCTCAGAAGCTGCACGTTTAAATAGTAACCAGCACCATCTGTATGCATATAATGACAGCGTGAGAGTCGGGACGCTGCGCTTGTCGGTCGTTCCAGGGATCAGGTGAGTATTAAAGGGTTATTAAACCCTCTGGATTTTTTCCATATATATATGAGGGTAGCAAGCAGTAGATATATGCAAAAAGTTGGGAAAAAAACGCTTTCGCATGGTTTAACCTTACCCCGTCTTTGCCGCGCACTCCCGTCCCAAAATCCGAAACTGCTGAGGCGGCCGCAAAGCATCTTGGGGCGGGCGCATGCGCAGTTCGGATTTGCAGCTGGGAGACGAGGAGAGTTACATAGTTACATAGTTACATAGTATTTGAGGTTGAATAAAGACATTAGTCCATCAAGTCCAACCTATTAGGATCTCATTCTAGGAGTACCCGTACCCCTGTATATTACGGTCCCTTAAGAAATCGTCCAAAAGTTTCTTGAACAATTCCACATTATTTGCTGAAATCACCGCCTGTGGCAGTGAGTTCCAGACCCTAACTGATCTTACTGTGAAGAACCCCCTTCGCACCTTGTGCTGGAATTTTTTTTCCACCAATTTTAGGTTATGGCCTCTAGTTTTTGTAACGGAGTTAATTTTAAACAGTTTATCGCTAATGTTGCT